ATTTGTACTAGAAATAACTAGTTATTATTTGGTTAAAAAATGATTTTTTAACCAGTGTAATATATATATATACAATTTTTATAGCCAAAACTCTTGTGATCTAGTGATTGAATCTGCATCATTTTTTAAAATATTAGTATGTATATAGCGATTATAAATCAGAATTTTGGGTTTACTAACCCTCCAAGTTGCTATTTGCTGAATAAATTTTGTCTCATTGAATGAAATAAATTACTAATTGGATAGCTTAAAAAATGTAAAAAAGCATCAATTCGGATAATTGATTTGTAATTATTGTTTCTATTAAAGTCAAATATTTATTTAAATATTTCTTCTTACTTATTAATACTAGTTCTCTCTGAATAAAAAAACACTTCAGAAGCTCTTTTTTTGGCAGTTTTTCTTGAATTGTTTTATCACAAACTGAAATAAATATATATGAGAGGATAGCCAAATAGAAACTAAAATTTTAGCTTTATTTTTTATTATTTATCTTTTTTTTCTCATTTTTTTTAAAAAAAAATTTATTTTTATTTTTTATTATTATTAGCCAGGACCATAAAAAGCCACAGGTTTAAAATTTTAATTTAATTTATTTTGATTTAATTAAATTATTTTATTTTAAATTATTTTATTTTAAATTATTTTAAATTATTTTATTTTAAATTAAATTAAATTATTTTATTTTATTTTATTTTATTTAAATTATTTTATTTTTTTATTTTAAATTATTTTTATTTTATATTTGCCATATAATTGCATAATAGTGCATAGGAAGTTGTTTCGAATTTTGGCCAGAATTAAGCTTAATTTAGGCAAATGTACAAAACCACACCCCATCACATTATTTTGTGATTATGTAGTATTTATAATTTTTACTTTTTTTATATATCCATTTTACTGAGAGATACCAAAAAGGAGGGGAAGGGGTGATTCTAACTGAAAAATTAACTTCAAATAGCTTTATCGAACTCTGTCAAAATTATCATCAGCAAATTTTTTTAGATATCCCAGAATTTATAAAAACAGCTATAAACTTGTTAGTATAATATATTGTCAGTATAATATATTGTTGGTGAAATGTATTGTCAGTAAAACGTATTGTCAGTAAAACATATTTGTCAGCAAAACATATTGTTGGTAAAACGTATTGTTGGAGAAATAAACATGTTAGTGAAATTATTATCAGTGAATTAATTGTAGGTAAAATATGCTTGTCGGTAAATTGATTGTCAGTGAACCAAAATGTTAGTGAACTAATTGTTGATAAAATAAGCACCATCTATTAATAAAATACTTATTTATATTGATATTATTTAAAATTATAAGTTATATATTTATATAAAAAAATTAACTTTAACTAATTAAAAATATTAATATAAAAATTATTTATAACAATAAAATAAATAAATAATTAATTAATATATTAATACTATTTGTAAAGTTAAACCAAAAATTCTGCTATAATTATACATATTAAAAATTTTAATAGTAACAATTGTTACTAAATAAAAACTTATAAATTTAAAAATAATTTATTATAAACTTTGTAACAATTAATTGTTAAATTTATAAGTTTTTATTATAATATATAAATATAATATGGCATTTTTATTATATTAAAAATAGTAATATATATATATATTAATTAGTTATAAAATATTATAAAAAACTAATACATAATTATACTAATATACAAATACTTTTTTATTTAATTAATAATACAATTGTAGTAGTTAGTAATTTATAATATTTAAAATTAAATAAATTTTTAATATTTTTATATTTTTTTATTAAATTTGATTGTAAATTAAAATTTAAATTTAAACTAAATTTAGAATTAAATTATATGGTTACACAGGCTTATAAGCCGCAGCAAGCCTGGGGTGTGACAAATAAGCCGCAGCAAGCCTGGGGTGTGACAAATAAGCCGCAGCAAGCCGGCTTATTTAGAAACACTAGTAATTTCCCCTAAAAAAAATCTTGCAATCTTGTATTTGGTCAAATCTAAAGGGGCATTAATTATTGGCACTTTATTAACTAGTTAAACTTTGATCTCGTGATGTAATGATCCAATTTTGATGAATTGGTACGTACCATTCGAATCATGATTAAAATTGGATCACTAATTTAGGGGCAATACTAGCTATTTGAGCCTAAAATTTGAAGCGGGAGCCAGACATTCTTAAATTCATTAAATTATGGCTCAAAAGCTTTCACTTCGTTCCACTCAGCTCCAGCCAATTAAAATAATTGCACATCTACATGGACATTTATACCGAAAAGGCTGATCTTTCTGGTAAGACTAAATAGACCCTTTTGACCTTTCCTTCCTTTAGGTCATATCTACCCTCTTCCCGAACAAGTCAATTCTGCCCTTTCCCCAAATAAGTCAATTCTGACTTTTCAGAGGGAAGTCTATTTAGGGCAAGTGAACACCATATTAATCACGTCTTGATCACACGATGGCACGTTCAATAATCACGTTATTGGCTTACAATACATACTGGTATAATGAAACTAAATCCATAATATCCCTTATATGTTATGCACATGCTTGCTATTTCGATAGTTGTTATACATATTTTAGTTATCGGTAATATTAAAGCCAGTGATGAGTGATTACTTTTTTGATAAGTTTAGAATTAGCTGCGCTTATCTATAAAATTCGGTAACGATGATGAACGAACGATTGATTAAAGAGTCAAAATTCTTTTTAAATGCTGTATATATTGAGCCTTAATTCCTAAGTTATTATTATTTATCCGCAAAAAAAAACCAAAAAAATATAAAATAACATTAAGTTAATCAATTTAGTCAATTACTAATTAAAACTATTCCATTTGGTGAGCATTTGATTGTGATGCCTACGTACTGTATCATAAATATATAATGTTCAAATTCATGACATTATCAACATTTTATTTTTTTAAAATTCTAATGTCGGCATGTTATGAAATGCACTTTTGTCTGAGTTCAGAATAGAGAGAAAATTATGTATTGATAATAGTTCAGGCCATCCAGAAGCAGTGTAGGAAAATTGAGATAAAGGAGCTAAACATATACTGGTATTCGTAAGACATCCAAGAAAAAAACTCAAAGATTCTGATTCTGGTTCTGATGTAATTTTAAAAAGGTCATTTAATATATTAGTCTTAAAAATTAGAAAAGGTTTATATAATAAAAGGTGACTTACAATGATTCAATCTCTAAATTATTCTTTTTATAGCAAGAACAAGACAAAAAATAAATTGCGTAGATTTATTCATACTGCGAAGCAAAAAGTTTACAGTCGGTTCATTATAAAAAGAAAAAAAGGTTAATAAGTAAACATGAAAAATATCAAATATCAATATTATTATGCAAAAAAAAAAAAAAAAAAAAAGAATTCATTAAAATAATTTCAAACTCCTTCATAAAGAAAAAATATTATCAAATAAAAAATTTAGCAATGTGTATGTTAAAAAGTTTTTTTTTTTATTTACAATATATAAAAAAAACAAAAATTATACATTTTCAAAATGCCATGTTATTTTTAAATTTATAACTTAAATAAATCTAAATTTCCCAATCTATTCCTGCTTGTGCGATGGCGTCTCACAACTATCTTATTGGTAATGCATAAATTGTAATTAAGAACTATCACTTATGCTCTTTAAACGATTATAAATTCATTTATTTCATCACATCCAAGTCCGTTTTCCTTATAGGGCAACCAAATCTAAAAGTCTTTCGACAAGTTGTTGGAGTGAATGGTTTAGATTAGTGACAGTAATTTCACAATAATCTAACCAGGCTTGTTTGTAATAACTTATCATGATAAGTTATTATGATAAGTTACGAGTTATCCTAAAATGGCAAAAAGTGCTCAGACAAAATTTACAATATTGTATAAAATTTTAGATCTTGTGATGTTTAAATACAGACAGATAAATTCTGATTGGAGGTTACCAGTTGGGCAACGCAATGTATCATACATTACACATAACGCAGTACATGAGTAACACCTCATAACGGGTTTATGCAGAATGATCTCATTATTTGTAACAATTCGAACAATAATGCATTCATAATATATATATATATATATATTTTTAAGGTTATCAAATTTCTGCGCAAAAAAAAAAGTCTAAATAAAGAGATGTTATCAGAAGAATTTTTACCAAGTTATCTTCGTAATAGTCCAATAAATAAGCGTAAAAAAAATGTGTATAAATCAAAATCATTACCTACACATTGGAATTCAATGGATTGTTGGCCTTATATAAACGTTATAGATCAAAATGGTTTAAACCTTAAATATAATGGGCCAGGAAGAGTATTATCAGATGAAGCTTCAATTAGAACTAATAATCCTATTCCACCAGAAGTTGGATTATTTTACTATGAAATAACTATATTAAGTAGCGAAGAAAATGGGTAAGTTTATTTTAATAATCTGTATTTTATAATATAATAAATTAAGGAAAATAATAGACATAACCTATTTTTAAGATGTATTGGAATCGGATATTGTAAATCAGATGTTGAGCTTAATGTATTGCCCGGTACGTATGTAAAGTATTAACCAAAATTCTTGATAATTTTATCATTTAATAAACTTTTAAATAAACAAATAGGATGGGTTTCAGACTCAATCGGATATCATGGAGATGATGGTCGTTTATATTATGGACGAGGAAATGGAAAAATGTTTGGACCTTGTTACGCTACCGGGGATACAATTGGTTGTGGAATTAATTTTTTTAATATGGAAATTTTTTTCACAAAAAATGGGATAAACATAGGAAAAGGACCACTTATACATTTTGAAACATATTCTTATGGTAAATATAATAATTTATTTATTTATTAATTATACTGAATGTATATACAGTAATTATATATACATATAATTATGTTAATACATGACAGCTAATAAATAATCGTTTATTAAAAATAGATGATTTAATTAATTATGAGCTAGTAGGAGAAATGTATCCAATGTGTGGAATGGCAATAAACGGTGAATGTATTTCAGCCAATTTTGGAACGAAACCTTTTGTGTTTGATATCGATAATTATGCAGAGGTAATATATATATTTACATAAATATTATTGTTTGAAGATTTTTGTCATGCAAAGAAGCAAAAATGATAATATATATTGATAACTTGTAGGTAATTTTTGCTGATGCAGAATCAAAAGAATAATCTACCTCTTAAAAAGCTTTAACTATAATTATTTTAAAGAAATAATACAAAAGCAACATAGATCTTAAATCTTGTCTTTATTTATTTCCATGTTATTAATGTTAAATAGTCCTTAAATTAGTCTATTATCGCTATTGATTATATCGATTTTTAAGTCTAGTTTACTAGACACACTTGATCACGTACACATCATTAATCGGAAATGATAATAAATTCGCACTTACAAAAATATATTGTTCTTGACACTCTAAAAAAAAAACAATTATACGCATTGTTTTGATTCAAGTAATTATAAACTACAGCATATAAAAACTTGGTTTCGCTTTATTAAATTTACAGTTTGTTAACAAAAAGTTTTTGATATAAAATAATTATATTAACATGTGCAATAATTAAGATAGTTTTTTAAAAAAAATATAGCAATTCGTTTGACTTAATCTGGTCTCAAGACTGCATATCTAGTTAAAAAACCAGAGTACAATCATATCTACTTGACAATCGATAAGAATCTAAAATACGTATGAGTCAAAAATAATGCGCGTTATTATTATTAATGTTTTTTTTTTTAGAACAACAGATCAATTGGCTTAAAAACAATGTTTTTGCAGCATCTTTGACTTGAATATTAAGCCATTAAAAAAATTGAAACAAAGCTATGACATAATTTTGGTAATAGATATTTCACGGGCCACGCCATGTGTTCATGACACACCGTGAAATGTCTTTTATATCCCACGGTTCCTATGCCCGATAAATTTTACTGATTACATCATAGCCGTGGAAAAAATTAGATATTTCGCAATTCTTGAATGTATACCAAGTTGGTGGTGCATTAATCAGTCCAAATAATTTGCGCCAATTAAAAATAACAATAATAAATTATAAATTTTAATAGATCGAAAATACCATTTTTTAGCGTTATTTCACTCGAATCATGTTCTTGTTAGTTTCAAAAAAGCACGTTTTCCACATTTTTTTCATAATCTTTAGCTACTATATTATTGATAGAATTAAAAAAAAAAAAAAGCTCGTATTCTTTACTTTTTTCATAATCTTAACTTCTATATTATTGTTTGAATTATAAAAAATGCTCGTATTTTTTACTTTTATAATGTTATAAATTATAATTTTCAAACCTTTTACAAACCAGAACGTCAAAGTACTAAATATAATACGCTTATAAGAAATATTAGCTTAAAAGTATGATAATAAAACTCAAATAAACACGTACTACAGTATATAATCATAAAAAAAATTCTTTAAATAAAAAAAAACTTTCTCATAATCTATGTTGAATCGTAAAAAAGAATAATAATAATGTTCCTTAATGTTAAAGACGCTTCACTTTTAAAACTAAATTTTATAAGTTTTGTTAACTTTACATACTTCCAAAATTATTGTAATACACTCTACTTACCTATTAAGTATGGCCAGCTCCCTTTATAATGATACCTTTTTATAATAAACGAACTAATAATTTTAAAAATTATTTATCAATTCACAAAAGAAATATAGAAAACATTCAAAGTACAGGACAGTTTATGAAACACATGGTGGAAGTTTTCATTGAAAAAGAAAATTTCTAAATGCACTGTATATAATGAAATAAAAGAGATCATTGTGGCTGGGTAATGCGCCACCAACCTGGCGCACATTCAAGAATTGCGATATTTTCATGGAATTACGTAATCATAAAAATATCATCAGGAATGTTCACGGGAGAACATTAGGGGCCGTGGGATATTTTATAGTTATTACTCGAATCAGAAATAATGACTCGAGTCGATATAATTCGGGTTAGAGGTTGACCCGAGTCATAACTTGGGTCAAACAAGTTAGAAAATCAAATTAGTTATGTAATAATGTAGCAAATCATAATAGAAATACTTTTGCTTTTAGCATGGCTTGTGCTGAAAGTAAAGCCATAATTTTTTTAATTCAATTTTCTATACTATTGCTGGTGGTCTGAACTATTATTTTGAATTCAGTCAAGAGTACATTTCATAAACATGTTAAACAAATGATCATATTGCTATATAAATTTAGAATATTGATAATTGACATGAATTTGAAGTTTTATAAATTACAGACATCTCAATCAAATGTTTACTTAATAGAATAGTTTTTAACTAGTGATAGACTAAATTGATTAGATATCATTACTTAATGTTATTTATATTCTTTTAGGTTTTTTTTTGCGGATAAATAATAATAAGACCCAATACCTATATCGACAAATTTATGTAATTCTAATCCTAATTACATATTTACTAGATGATCATACGTATAGAAAAAAGAATTTCGACTCTTTAATCAATCAATCGTTCATCATTGACGCAAAAATAAGATAAATATTTGTCAACGAATTTCATAAATAAGTGCAGTTAATTCTAATCCTATCAAAAAAGTAATTACCCACCACTAGTTTTAATATTTATGCTACCACTAATTACTGTAAAATGTATATAGGTTTAGTCAACTATCGATATAACGAACATGTGCATAGCATATAAGGAATATTGCTGATTTAAAATTTATCATAGGTTCATTATACCGGTATGTATTGTGAGCCCATAGCGTGATTATTGAACGTGCCATCGTAGGTCAAGACATGATTAATATGGCTGAAAGTCAGAAATGATCGAATTGACTTATTCGGTGAGAAGGGCAGATATGACCTAAAGGAAGAAAAGGTCAAAGGAATCAATTTAGTCTAATCGAAAGATTGGTATTTTCAGTATAAAAGTCTATATAGATTTGTAATTATTTTAATTGGCTGGAGCTGAGGGGAATGAAGTGAAAGCTTTCGAGCCATAATTTAATGGATTTAAAGAATGTCCGGCTCTCGCTTCAATTTTTAGGCTCAAATAGCTAATATTGATACTAAATTAATAATCCAATTTTGATGATTTGGTACCATTAGAATAATGATTCGAATAGTACCAAACCATCAAAATTGAATTATTACTTCTCGAATTATTGCTGATCAAAGTTTAACTAGTAAACAAAGTGCTCAAGAATTAGTAGATTTGATCAAATACAAGATTGAATTTTTTTTTATCAATTTCTAGAAGACTAAGTATATTATAAAATCTCAACAAATTGGATAACAGATCCTACAGAAAGAAAATATTAAACCATCTTAAAAAATAAGCTTATCCGCCAACTTATGTATAATTACACAAAATTCTATTTTGACTCAGATGTATTTTACTTTAGCTATTATAACCTCCCTGGATTTAAATAGAATTTCTTTAACTAAAAATCCATAAATCAAAAATACTAAATTAAAATTCACTAAGTAAATAATTTTTAAATTTTAAATTAGATTTATTAACTTTACATAAATGTTATACAGAAAATTTAGTAAATTAATCAAAAAAATCAACAAATCAAAATTTTATGACTATTTTTATTTAAAGTGAACTGTTCATTTATAATGAAATTCCTTTTTAGTTAAAGTGCAGATACAAAGATTTCATAATTGATTTTTTAAAAATATAACGAGACACTCTTCTCATTAGATTATTATGATTTTCTTTAAATATAACTTCGAAATCTTTATTAAAATATATTAAATTGTACTTAAAATATCAAAATCATTCTATATATTTCTTTTTTTTTATTAAAAAAATATTTCAGAACACGATTTTACCGGCCTGTAGCTCTATGAAATCACGCGCTTATATGAAAATAAATCGGTAAATAAATAAATAAATCAATCAATGAATTTTAATGCTATCTAATGGTTGGCTGCCAACAAGTATTTTTGAAAGCTTTTCAGTAATTTCTCGTGTGTTGATGAGCTTTGAAGTATACATATGGTCTGAATGTTTTTGTCCGACGTTCAGTAAGCCCTTGATCATCACATCGGCATCCATAAATTGTTTTTTAATTGCACTGATCTCAGTATCTTGTACGTTAGAAGGAATGCAGATGGAGTCAAACCACCTATTAAGTTTATCTGTAATAGCCGAAGCGGTAGGTCGTTTCTGTGGGTCGGGATCCATGTACTGCATTGCTAATTCAACATAGCAATTAGGAGTACCAGGTGCGTATTCTGGCCTTAATCCCAAGCAAATTGATGTAGCAAGTCCTTCATCAAACGGAATACCATCAAAAGGTCTTTGACCGACAGATATCTCTATCATGATTATCCCAAACGAATAAATATCAGAGGCTTGTGTAAACATTGATTTGCGAGATAATACTTCTGGAGCGATATAAGGTAAAACACCATAAATCCCTTCAATCTTACTTTTAATATATGATGAAACCCCTAAATCTGCAACATACGCATTATATATATCTTGTTGTAAAATATTACCACTATGTAAATCTCTATGAACGTATCCTTGAAAGTGAATCATATTAATATCCGAAAATTATACACTGCAATAATTTCACTTTATTTTTCCAAGTCATTCGTGCAACTTCGTAAAGATTTTTATTTAAAGATTGTTTGTATGCATATTCTAACACGAAAGTATATCTTCCATAAACATCTTTCGTTATCCCATAACATTTCAAAAATTCTGGATATACATCTCTAATCTCACAAAATATTTTTAGTTCTTTTATAAATTCTAAATGATCATTTGAATTAAGAATTTTAAGGGCAACATTATCTTGAAAATTTCTACTTTTATCCTTCCAAGACGCACGATATACAGACGCAAATCCACCTATTCCTATTCCTATGATATTTTTAAATTCATCATAAGGAATCCATGGCAATTGATAACTATTTTCAATCAACATCTTTCTTAAGTTGTAATCAAAATCAACTTTTTTAGACGCACATTCATATATAACTATTTTAAAAATTCAATTAATAATTGATTTATATAATAAATTAACAATAAAAAAATTACCTGTTGTTAATTTGTTCGCTCTGGTAATTTAATTTAGTTTTTAGTAAATAATTATAAATTTAAATAATAATATGAATCAATATAGAATTTTGTACCTTCGATACCAATAGTTAGCGTGTTGTATAT